GAATTCGGCGCGTCCTATCCCTAGTAGTTTTGTATTTTTCCAGACAACTTGCGTGAAATGCCCTGTTTCGTTGGAAAACCCGGGTGATTTCCAATGGTATTTGCTGATTTCATCGTACCATCGATTAGTTATGGCGGTGCAGTCGTAGGGTGACTCTGGAAAATAAAAACATTTTACTTTCTCTTAAAAATTCCGTCGCACTTGTATCTATGTCGTACGTTTTGAAAGGAGAGGCCTTGTGCACAACTCATGGTCATTATTATAGGTCATATGACACTGATGAATAAAACATCATGCATCCATAARAAGGAATCGCATTCAAACTGCGTATATTTTACATTTAATAGTGAGCGACTGGTTTTTCCAGAAAATTGAACTGTACCTGGACTAGTGCAAGTAATAGCCAGATTCTCTCCCTGYCCAATTCTTTCACTCCTTGGTGAATGTACTGGATTTTTAATACCACGTGCAGCCAGTTTTCTGGCATAGTTTAGCGCGGCTTTGTTAAGTATYTTATCCAAACGAAGCGGAGGAACTTTGTGTAGGGACCGCTTTGCATTRTGGTCTTGTAAGGCTTGGCGTCGACAAATTCCTTCTACAAAATGCATAATAAATTTGATATCATTCTGAGGTTATGAAATATTAGTTGTTATTTGTCATTCCTTTTTAATCAAGAACTAATGAAATGTCAACAGCAAAAGAGATCATTATTTGAGATTTCTAGTAAAAAACTTACTTCTTGCTCCACCATTTTGCGTCCTTGACTCTTCGTTTCCTTGACAACAGTATGAAGTCAATAACTCTTGATTCATTGGACAAGGAATTTTTGTTCTTTGTAAGCAAGGATTGAACTCGGGATCGCATGAAATGATATCGTCAACAGCAGTACATAAATCGTCGTCTTTTATTACATGATGCTTATCTTGAGGTGCGTGGTTATGGGATCCCTTTATAGAAGGTCTGTTTTGCATTGGTGGTGTRGAAGGATTTTGACCGTTAATTTCTAGATTCTTTTTCAAAAGATTAAGTTTCTTTACAAGCTGCGTTATTTCATTGCTTGTCTGATTTATGGCTTCTTTGTTTGATATTTGGTCGTTTTGTTTCGACATTTGTTCTATTATAGTGTTCAATTGATGTTGCCTWCTAGCTACTAAGGCGTTTGAGTTGTCATGGAATTGTTTCTTCTTGTTTTGAGTGTTGATGAGAAGYAGTTTTCCAACTACTTTGTCGGCCTGAATCTCRTTTTCTGGATTCGGCTGTTCGCTGTCTTGGCCTGGACTATTTATTGCCTGGTTTTGCTCTTGCTGTTGTTCGCCACCTTGACCTGGACTGTTTGGTGTCTGTTTCTCCTGTAGATGCTGTTCGCTGTCTTGACCTGGACTGTTTGGTGTCTGGTTCTCCTGTAGATGCTGTTCGCTGTCTTGACCTGGACTGTCTGGTGGTTCTTGTTGGTGCTGTTCGGCACCTTGACCTGGACTGTTTGGTGTCTGGTTCTCATGTTGCTGCTGTTCGCCATCTTGACCTGGACTGTTTGGTACCTGGTTCTCCCGTTGGTGCTGTTCGCCAACTTGATCTTGACTGTTTGCTGCCTGGTTATCCTGTTGCTGCTGTTGGCCACCTTGACCTGGACGTTTTGGAACCTGGTTCTCCTGTATGTGCTTTTCGCTGTCTTGACCTGGACTTTTTGGTACCTGGTTCTCCTGTTGCTCGATATCTTGGTCTGGATTGTTTGATGTGTTCTCGTGTTGTGGTTTGCCTATGTTTATTTTGTCTTCACTATTTGAGTGCTTTAATGGATTGTAAGTGTTTTGTTTTTCATTCATTGGAGTCGTATTTTCTTGTTTGTGTGTTCTCGGCGGTTCATCTTGTGTTTGCTGCGATTGAGGTGACTGTTTCGATTCTTTAACCGCTGAGTTTATTCCTTGCTGTTGCTGATATTCAAGCTCCTGTTTGTTATCTTTATTGTCAAATACCTCGATGTTCTCTTGATTGCTCAGATTCTTCTCCTCCTCTTCTTCTTTTTCTGTATTCATTCCCTGTTTCTCCTTGTTGTTTTCAGGAAATGGCGCTTCCTTTTCTTCTTTTGTACTCAATTCATTTTCGTGTTCATTTTTTCTCCCYTGGCCATTAATTCCATTTACAGTCTGACCAAACAGTTTTTGGCCCAAYAGTTCATATCTATCATGGCTTGTTTTTAGTTCCTCAATGGTGTGTGGCTTCAAATCTTCTCCCAGGAATACTTGCGGGTATAAATCGTAGTTGTCTTGTTTTTGCTTTTCCTCCTGGGAAAGACCAGAGTGTTTTCTCACCTTGTTGTTGTTGTTGTTGTCGTTGTTGCTCCTGTCGTTGATTTTGTTGTCTGCATTTGTGGGTGGCACATTCATTTTGTGTACTACACCAGAAAGGACTTTAACAAGTTTTTTGAAGACGCCCATAGTTTTTCCAAATTTCTGATTGGTCGAGGAACCTGATGATTGAAGTGAAAGACCAATTTTAATGTTTCATTATATTACAAAAGTAACTCCCAACAGCAAATTTCAGTATTTTCAGTATTACAGTATTTCCATTGAATTTATTTCCCTCTTGTAAACGTTTCGCACCATCAGAATGTGTTGAGCCTGTTTAACAAGTATCAGAACTTCTTAAACAAGTTTTTAAATTATGTCAAGAGTCAAGAAGAAAGAGCACAGAGCTCGAACCTCAAAAGAGTGGCACTATATATATCTATTTACTTTGATWTTTATTTGTACTATCCGTATCGGGTCTTCGGCGTATATGATTCGTTTAACCCGTTTTACCTGTTGAAAATCTTAGAGGCTTCCCTGTCCCTATGACCGTTTTTTCATCACTAGAAGCAGTAAGTCTCTCTGGTGGAGCATTTCGGATAATGAAGAGTGGAGGTCTTTGATCTTGAGACTTTCGATGATGTAGAGACTTTTGAGGATTACCTTGAAACTTTTGTGGTTGAACTGGGAACTTTTGACGATTACCTGGAAACYTCTGACACTTTACACGATTACCTGGAAACTTTTGAGGGCTATCTGGAGACTTTTGAAGATTACCTGGAGACTTTTGCGGATTAGCATGGGACATTTTAGGACTATCTGCAGTTTGTTGATCAATAGGAGTCCCCCCTGAAACTTTGATAGTATTCGCAACAGGTTATTTTTAACTCGTACAGTTCATTACTATCTCGCATCGTTATTCAGATACATTTTGATTTGATATATTCATTTATGCCTGATGCACTAGGTCTACGATAGCCTGTGACGCCAATCATTTTACAATAATCCAATGGAACAATCTACCTGCCTCTATGTTTAATAATCTGTCCTCACTGACTGTTTTCAAAGAAAAATTAATCTGTTTAAATCACCTTCCTATAAAGTAAATTTTGTTATACTGACCCCCCAGCCAATAATCCTCGTTTGTGAGGGGCAGGCTGCATTTGGTAAAATGAATAAATAAATGCAATCGCATACCAGATGTATTCAACGTCACAATGTATTCCTGTCCAGCGGCATTCAGACGCAAACGTTTTACCTCCGAGCTTTGATTTTGGCAACTGGATAGGCCGTCTTTAAACTGACAGCAGTCTGATTGGTCAGGCGATGGGCATGAACAGTCCATGTCAGAGTCCATCTCATCTTCTACTGGGTAGTATGTGTAACCTGGAATGACAACTGAAACGGGCATAGTAACCGAAAGGTTCACCTCACATTCCCTCACAACGACAACCATGAAACAACAACAAGAGCAATAAAATAAGCGATAACAGTGATTACAAAGAGACAGCAACAACAGCAGAATCAGCAACAATTTAGACTCTGTAACAAAATGAAGTTGGTGGACCTGATTATGACATTGAAGGTAGATTTTAAGAAACGCCGTTTGTTCTAACCTGCAGCAGGGCTTCCTACTTTCTGGATATTGGATCTTTGTGGTAGAGAAAAATTCGTTTTTGTTAGGTTTGACTTTAGATGGCGGCCAGCTGAAATTAAAAACTTGCCATGAATCAAATTATTTTACAATCGGAACTTTAGGTGTCAACTAGTTGCAATGGTTGCAAATTGAACAACTACACTAGGACTATAACAATTTCTTTAAGGCAGATATGTTCTATTCACTTTTTTGCGAAAACGAATTTAAAACAGCTGTATTCTCGAGATGCATCGGTTGGTATTTGAAGAAGAAACTCCTGTTATTTACATTGTATACACCTATTTGATTAACTTATTTGTACTAATATAAGTTACTATACCATGATACACTTATTCTTACCAGAGAAAAGTAGAATATCAAGAAAGACAAATAGCGTTATGTCCATTTTCACCATCATTGGTAGACAGTTTCTCCATTCCTTGTCAGTTTCCTTGATCTTTGATTTCAAATTATTGATCCTAATACAATGAACTCTTCACCGTGAACAAATCAAAACTAATGTTTGACCGGTAGACTCTTGAAGACTAGTGATGGAATGTCAATATTTTGACGCACAGTGATCCGTGAACGCGTTTCATGATATGTGATGTGTGTGTGTGTGTGCTTAAAGATGTTTGATAGAAGCTGAAGCAATGACTGAATGAATCTAGATTGAGTACTCATCTACTCACAGCGTCATGCATGGTTTATAATATAGTGTTGTACATAGGATAATAGTGTGTTCGTAGTAGAGATGTCCATAATACTTTTATACGGTTCCGGTGCGAGCTGCATTTTGTATGTGTATCATTACTGAGATGCTTCATGCGGAAATTAGCCGTTACGCAAACGTAGTAACACATATAAGCAACTACTGAAACGCAGTAACTGAAAGGCTCAATACTGTAGAAATGCAAGTGCATGAATACGGATAAACCTTTGCGGAAACGCAGTGGCAGTAATAATAGGAAGCACTGCGGAAAGGCAGCATCGAAAACGCACTAACGGTATTAAACCATTACGGAAGCTGCGCTGTGACACGTAAATAAAGCATTTCAGAAACGCGGTAATCAAACGTCACAGTTTGTACTTTTTCAGTCGTTTCTGATTTGCATGCGCACACGTAGGGGAACTTATACAGGACTATACGTATTGGAGTATTTAAACCAAGTAGTGAAATAAGACTTTTTGTGATTTTGAACAATTTTAATATTGTTTCAATTTAGTACGGTATTACAATGTGATAAAACAACTCATATCGTTGTTTTGCTGTATAGAATTTCTATCGCGCTTCCATTTTTATTTGTTAAGCCATTCCATCTAAGTTACAATTTTATATAACAAATGTACACTGTGCAGCAACTTAAGTAAATGGAAGGCGTGTCAACAGTACTTTTAAACCGCGTTTTATCGAACACCCGCTCAATACGTCCTTTTGTGGTATTGATGGAGAGTATGGTTGCTTTGTCTATGAAAGCCGTACATCAAAATGAAGTACTTCGGTAGCCATTTAGTAATTGTATCCAATGGCAATAAACTTATTTAAAGGTTCTGCAGGTTACACTTCTGCACATTATGTATTTTTCCCATTGCTTCAAKGGTAATTTCTAATTGCTATTTCCTTGAAGATTGCTACAATTCAGTTAGACTAGTATATCATCATTATTGCCTCTGAGCTTTTGACTACTGCATCTTGATCTTGACTGGCGCATCTCACGGGTTCATGCGTTTGTCCTTCTTGACATGATGTGGTATTTGCCTATTGTTCTTTTCTATCTATACACATTCTAGCTCAACTATATGCACCTTTGAGTATTAAAACCATTGCACATTGTTTTTCATCGTAGAAATAATTCCACTTGTCATGAGAATTTGTTATGCATATGATCTCTATCGAGTCATTTTAGTCATTTATCATATGGGGTCCTTTATAAAACATTGCACGTAGAATTGTACGTAGCATTGTATGTACTTGATCAATGCGATAAACAGCCCACCATTTACATTCCATTTATCTTTCTTTCGACGTTCTGTGGAAACTGTCCTTGTACATTACCCGGAGGTCTGTATCGAGCAACGATCATGTAGCATGTACCATCTGAAAAACGCAAAAATCGATCATTCAATCAATAATCAATCAATCAATCAATCAATCAATCAATCAATCAATCAATCAATCAATCAATCAATCAATCAATCAATCAATCAATCAATCAATCAATCAATCAATCAATCAATCAATCAATCAAACATTCAATCAATCATTCCATCCATCAATATATACTTAAACTGTGTAATATCTTACATGTCGGGTGTTCATAGCTTGAAATGCCTATACCGAGTTCTTTGGTATTCTTCCAGACGACTTGCGTAAAATGCCCAGTTTCCATAGTAAATCCTGGGGAATTCCAGTTGTACTTATCAATCTCGTTGTACCAGTTATCCGTTACTTTACTACAGTCGTTCCCTGAAGAAAACAATACGGATTGAATTGATTAAACTATTTTCAATTTATGAGGTTGAAGTTCGATGGGATATATGACTTTTAGAATTTTAACTTAAATCCGTTTATCAAATGATGTTGTATATGGTTGGATGGTTGGAGCATGCTTCCAGAAAAAAAAACTTCACATGTGACATATAAATACCAGACAAATCACCTCCTCTCATGCATGTCATTGCTAAATTTTCACCCTGTTCGGGCCTTTCACTTCTCGATGAATGTTGTAGTTGACCTGATCCAGAAGAGGCCAGTTTCTGTGCATAATTCATRGCACCTTGATTCATCTCTGCATTAAGACGAAGGGGCGGGGCATTATGCATCGATCTCATTCTATTATGCTGATCTAGAGCTTGTTCTTGACACGAACCGGCTAAAAATACAGTAATAAAGGTGACGTTAACAATAGTGTGATAGCAGCAGTATTGGTACATCGTTATTATTATTATATACAAGAATAACGCAGACTTACGCGGTACATTGGCTCCCGCTCCTACTCCTGGACGATCTCCTCCGATTCCTCCTAGACCACCAAGCCCACCTCCTTTGATTCTTCCTAGACCACCAAGCCTACCTCCTTTGATACCTCCTAGACCNCCTTCACCCGGTCCTCCAGGAAGTGTCGTTTCATTTACTGGACAACATGTAACACCTTGTAATATCAGGCATGACCCACTGTTTATTGCTCCCTGACTACAGGGGTTYGCACCACTTACAGGACACGGCGTCTGTGAACATGGAGATTCAGTGACGCATTCCATCGTGCTTTGTTGTGCACACGGCATGCTCTGTTGCTGAGGGCAAGATGTTGGCTGGCAGGCTACCATTTGTTCTGGGCATTGCTGTGGACATGCAGAAGGACTACTACTTGACTGGAAAGGTTGATCTTGTGTTAGAWTKTGTTTCTTTGGATGTGCGAGACCTCGTTGTTCGTTTTTGTCCTTTATATGATTGTTTTTACCGTCGAAGTTTCGATAATTTGCACTTTTATTGTCATCAATCTTCAAGGGTTTTGTTGAAAATGGTTTGTGTGCTGRTATGTCTGAGGAAAGATTCGGTTCCACCAAAGGCTGGCCTACAAGAATTGCCGCTGATCTGTTGCCTGTCTTACCTATATCAGCAAAAGAAGGATCGAATTAAG